TATTATTATTATTATTATTATTATTATTATTATTATTATTATTATTATTATTTTATTTAAATTGATCCAGACAATACACTTAAGCAATCGTGTATATTAAAGAAAAATGTATACATAATTTTTTTGTAAAAAAAGTGTGAAAAACGATCATAAGTCACTTTCAGTGCCATTATAACTCCAGTCACTAAATGAATTATCAAGGACTTTCTATACTACCCCTGCTAGGTCACAACTTGTAGTCCCCTGTTGACTGGTTTAAGAAATGAGGGGTCCTTGATGCTCTCAGAGCTCAGTTGCTTTCTTGCAGACATTTCATTACCCTAACATCATCAGGGCTAAGAAGAAGTGTGGTTTGCTCTCAGAATTACCTGTACACCTTGGTGCAACACAACCCACAGAGTGAGACCAGAGGGGGAGGGATGTTGTGGTCAGTAGTGGGATTCAACTAGTGTAACAACCGGTTCGGTAAAGCGCACAGGTGCATTTAAAAATAGCAAGAAAACTTACCTTTTACTGTAGCCTTAGTGAGTAAAAACAGCAGGGTGTGGCAATCCACTCTGCCACGCCTATCAGCTTGGCTTCAAACAAAGGAAATATAGGACAGAATAGTGCAGGTGCCAGTGGGCAGGGCCAACTGATTGCTGGAACTACCGGTTCTCCCTCCAACTGGTCCATACTGGCTGAATCCCACCCCTGGTTGTGGTGCTTCCGGCTCAACCCTAATTTGCAAATCGTTGTCGATTCATTGCCAAGGGGAATCAAATGCGTCACTTTTCAAATGAAGACCAGATGCGTCTTTTGCTGTGAAGGCTGCCTTTCCTGATGACGCTGCGGAAAAGACAAGCCATCAAAAGGAAGTTGAGTTTGGCAGATGGTACGAACCATTCCAATCAGAGGAATGAAATCACCCAATGGAGGCCTGCTTCTTGGTCGTTCGAATGACAGGAAGTCGTCGAACCATCTTTCTGAACTTCAAATGACTCAGGAAAGGACCTTCATCAAGGCAGCTGTAGGAAGCTGAGGCTAAGAAAGGAATGGTTGTTGTAAGACGGCAACCATTTGCATAATGTGCAGCTGAAACAAAGCCCTGCAATAAGTCCTATTTCACGGCAATCACAAAAGGAAAGAAATCTGTAGAGGGAAAAGGTTTCCATGGGCAGTCTTTCATGAACAAAAGTTGGCTTTATTAAAGGAGTCAAGCTAGAAGAGGGAGTCAAGCTATTCTCCAAAGCACCGGAGGGCAGGACAAGAAGCAATGGGTGGAAATGAATCAAAAAGAGAAGCAATTTAGAACCAAAGAGAAAATTCCTGACAGTTAGAACAATTAATCAGTGGAATGGCTTCCCTCCAGAAGTTGTGGCTGCTCCATCACTGGAGGTTTTTAAAGAAGAGATGGACAGCCATATGCCTGAAGTGGTATAGGGTTTCCTACCTAAGCAGGGGGTTGGACTAGAAGACCTCCAAGGCCCCTTCCAACTCTGCTATTCTATTCTAAAGAGAAAAAACATTTCTGGAGACATAAAAGCCAATAGGAATCATATACAGGGCAGAACTAATCTATCATGCCCCTGGTGGAGACTGACTCTGAGTCAGAGGAGGAACAGCCGACAGGGAGTGGAAGTGTGGCTCCAGAAGTTGTGGAGGAGGCTGGGGAAGGGCAAAGACCAGCTGGGCAGTCAGAGGAGGATCACCCCTGGGTGGGCGTGGCTAACCTGACATCACTCAGATCGAGGGGTGCCTCGCCTCCAAACCTCACCTGGCCACTTGCCTTATCTCCTGACCACTTGTTGGGTAGGAGGGGAAGGGTGAAGTGGGCCGGGCATGGCGAGGCACCCAAATCAGCCAGTTCGCCAAACTCCACAAAAAAATTAGCAACCGGTTCTACCGAACCAGTGTGAATCGGCTGAATCCCACCCTGGTGCCAAGCCTTCAATTAAGGGTTCAATTCCACAGTTTCTAAGGGTGCCCAATTGACTCTGAGCAGCTTCCAAAATAATCATGTTTCAATAATTATTTAAATAATTAATAATTTAAATCATTATAATTATCCTCCTTGAAAAATATAGAAGCCGGCTAAAATTCCTAATAGAAAGTATAAAGTGAAATCATGGTGGAAAATTCCCTAACAAATGCCATGACTGGCATTCCTTTCTTCATCCTAGTCAGCCCAAGTAAGATTTTCAAAATCCAGGCAAATAACATGACGGCAACATTCCTGCATTCTTTTAGCAGAATAACAGAGTTGGAAGGGACCTTGGAGGTCTTCTAGTCCAGCCCCCAAGCAGGAAACCCTACACCATTTTAGACAAATAGTTATCCAGTCCCTTAAAAACCTTCATTGATGGAAGCACCCACAACTTCTGAAAGCAAATCGTTCTACTGATTAATTGTTCTCATTGTCAGGAAATTTCTCCTTATTTCTAAGTTGGGTCTCTCCTTGAATACCATCCATTGCTTCTTTTCGTGCCTTCAGGTGCTTTGGAGAATAGGTGGACCCTTCTCTTCTTTGGGGCAGTGCCTTAAATATTGGAAGACTGCTATCATGTCACCCCTAGTCGTTTTTGCTCTCTGTCCCCCACCTACTGTAATCTGTAAATTCAATTTTCAGGGATGCCAGTGAAGGAAGGAGACCTGTTGTGTAAAATAGATTTCTATTTAATTAACTCAACCAACATTCTGGTAATTTTCAGTTTCGGCAGGAAACTGTAAGGACTTATTTTGAATCGTGCAAGATGCAAATATTCTGTTCAATATTTTATGAAGGAGCCGCAGCAAAGAATTTAAAAAAGCATTTCCAGCTGGGTAAATGCGCTTGGATTTTATTTAACCAAGAATGGAATACAGTTTGAAAAAAATAATGGGAAACCAGTAGTACTATTCCTTTAATCAAATGGAGGAGAGAGAGAGAGAGAGAGAGAGAGAGGAAAGAGGAAAGAAGGGAGAAAAGGAAGGAAGCATGAAAGCAAGGAAGCAAGAGGGGAGGAGGGAGGAAAGGAAGGAAGAAAGGAGAAAAAAGAAAGAGAAAAAAAGAAAAAAGGGAGGGAGGAGAAAAGAAGGGAGAGAAGGAGGGATGGAGGAAGGAAAAGGGTGAGGATGGAGGAACGGAGGAAGGAAGGAAAGAGAAAAGAGAGAGAAAGATAAAGAAAGAAGGAAGGGAGGGAGGGAGGAAGGAAGGAAGGAACAAAGGAAAGAAGGAAGGAGCAGTCATAGATAACTTTGAAAGTGAATTGTGCATTCAACACTCAAATGGTCACCACCTCCAACACACTACATAAACATGACAAAATAAATAAATAAATAAATAAATACAAAATTATACATATGCCCACATACACACATATATATGGCACAGAGAAACAGCAGTCTAGTTCGAATGTTCACATATACATGGCGAGAAAAAAGAATCCTGAGATTTTATAAGACGGGTGGCATAAGGAACAAAGCTGTTACTGAATCGGGCAGTCCTGCTATAGATACTTTGAAACCTCCTCCCAGAGGGGAGCAAAAGAAACTGACCATAAAGTGGGTGTGTGGGGTCTCTAACAATGATTCAAGTTCTACGCACATAGCACTTGTAAGCAGTATCCTGAATAAGGGGAAGCCAGCTTCCTATGATCTTCTTTGCTGTCCTCACCACTCTCTGTACGGACTTTCTATCTGAGGCACTGCAGCTACCAAACCAAACGGGGATGCAGTTTGTTAAGAAGCTTTCCATCGTGCCTCTGTAAAAAGTGGCCAGGACACAAGGAGAAATATGTGCTCTCTTCATCCAACGGAGGCCATTGCAGGCGCTGGTTTCTACACTTCACTGTGGTATATGTCTCAAATTTGGCATTGGCTCTGGGCATTAGGTGTAATGTTCCTCTCCTGTTGACCTTTTTTATTTTTTATTTAGAAATCATGGCACCCTTTGTTATGTGTCTTAACAAGCCTTCCTATTTCTTTTCTTTTCTTTTTCTTTTCAGAATTACCCTACGGCTGGGAGAAAATTGATGATCCCATCTATGGCACTTATTATGTGGAGTAAGTTTTTCAAACCATTATTAATTGCCTGTTAATCCTGTTGTCAGCATTCCAGCTTTGGAAGCTATATTCCATGCTGCCACCTGTATCAATTGTGGTTCAGGTCCTGTTCTGACCCAAAGTCTTGTCCAATAAAACAAACACAAACCAAAGGGAACAGAAACCTTTTAATGGTTCTTACGAATTCCTGGTTAAAAGGCTGCTGCAAACTAATTAATTTTGATAAGCACGAGCCTCACCAAAACTGTGCAAGGCTGCCAAGAATAACAGATAAGGTTACCTAGAAATATTTTGCAACACAAGAGTCTTCAAATACCAACTAAGATACTGCAATGTCCACGAGGCTGGAGTTTCAAAACGTCTTTGCTTCCTGCAAAGAACGTCCGATTCACAGCTGGCTTTTATCTTCTTGAAGGAGGGGCCATTACCTTGCAGCCTTACTCCTGAGTTGCCCGTGCTGTTGCAGCTGCTCTTTCCTATGAGCAATCCTGCGCGCACGCTCACTTGGCACAAGCTCCTCGGGAACCTCCTCATAGCTGCTGCCAGCCCGCACAATCTCTGAAGGCTGCAGTCCATTCCCTAATGGTCCTGGCCCCTCATCTGAGTCCTCACTCTCCTCAGCTGTCTGCACTTGCTTCTGGCTAACCACAACAGGTCCCATGTGGCACTTCAGGTCAAAAAGAAAGCAGTCCATGGTGGTTTTTCTTGTTCCTGGGGACCTTAAGATGGGACAGAAAATAGAAGGCCCAACTGAAGGAAAAAAAGTAATACAATGTAGTCCTTGGCTTATGATCACAATGGAGCCTCAAATTTCCGTTGCTAAGCAAGAGAATTGTTCAGTGAGTTTTGTCCCACGATTGTTAAGTGAATCACTGAGTGGTGCAGTGGCCTAGAGGAGGAGCTCTCACCTCACAATCAGGAGACTGTGAGTTCGATCCTAGGTAGAGGCAGATTGTAAAAAAAAACTCTGCATTGCCGACAGGAAGGGCATCTGGCCAGTAAACACTCAGCTCCATTCAGTTGCCGAGACTCCACCCCACAAGGCGTTATGGGGTCATTAAAAGAGGGTGGTTGTTAAGTGAATCACTGCATTTGTTAAGTTAGTAACATGGTCGTTAAGTGAACCTTGTCAGAAGGTCACCAAAGGTGATGACATGACCCTGGGAACACTGCAATGGTCATAAGGGTTAAAAATAGCTATAGGTCACTTTTTTCCAGCAGTAACTTCAAACAGTCACTTAAACAGACTCACTTTTCAAGAGTGTTTTCCATTGAAAAAAAGTTACCTGTTTCTGTACTCTTGCCATCCCATAATATTTATTCATTTATTTGATATGCTCACCGAACTCTTGCGCTATGGCTCCAGGCAGTTGGCAACAAATGAAACTCCAGTCTTGGGTCCCCCAAAATCTGAGAGGGGGAGAAATCTGCTTTTCTGAAGCAAGGCCAGACATAACTCAGGAAGAAGATTTCTCCAGAGGACAGGAGCTTCAACAGGGGAGGTCTTCTGTTCCTTGTCACTAGTGTTGTTTAAGGAAAGTTCTCAAAGAATACCCCCTATTAAAGCATGTGGGATGGGAAGATATCACTAGAGATATCAAATGTTCTTGCCTATACTCCCATGCCATCTAGACCTTTAATGAAGGAATATCAGCATCAGTTGTCTTCTAGTACAGTGGTCACCAAGCAGTGAGCCGCAGCCCACTGATGGTCTGCAAGAAAATTTTGGTGGTCCACAGAGAAATGCCACCCCCAAAGCAATTAATCCAGGCTGCGGGGCAACACAAGGCTTCACTGCCCACATGCCCCGCGGGAACACAAGTCTTGCATAGCTTACATTAGGAACAACACGAGGTAGTGAGGGGAGGAGGGAAAGGGCGGAGGGGGGAACTTGCCCGGCCACCAGGTTGCTTCTTTCTTTCTTCTGCTTTTGGCTGCACGCAAGGAAAGCAGCAAAAGCCTTTCTTTCTCTGCCCCAAACTCTGCCAGAAATGAGTCTTTGGGACCCTGCAAGGCCTCCTGCTCCAAGAGGCTGCGCCGGCAAAGACTCATTTCCGGCAGAGTTTGGGGAGAGAGAAAGAAAGGCTTCTGCTGTTTTCCTTGCATGAAGCCTGAGAACAGAGCTCAAAAGCAGGCTAGGAATGTGGCTGCCTTGGAGGGGGTGGGGATGTGTGAGGGGTGTGTGTGTGTGTGTGTGTGTGTGTGTGTGTGTGTGTGAGAGAGAGAGAGAGAGAGGGAGAGAGAGAGAGAGAGAGAGAGAGAGAGAGAGAGAGAGAGAGAGAGAGAGAACATCACCAGCCCTCCGAGGTTAAATCAAATATCTTTCTCTCTCTCTCTCCCTCCCTCCTTCCCTCTCCCTCTCCCTCTCCATCCCACCAAACGTCAGCAAGCCACGTCAGTCAAAATTCACATTAGTGGTCCACGGGATTTAAAATTATGAGTTTGGTGGTCCCTGAGGTCCAAAAGGTTGGTGACCCCTGTTCTAGTCTCCAACCTTGGCCATTCTAAAACTTGTGGACTTCAACTCCCAGAAATAGAATAGAATAGAATAGAATAGAATAGAATAGAATAGAATAGAATAGAATAGAATAGAATAGAATAGAATAGAATAGAATAGAATAGAATTCTTTATTGGCCAAGGGTGATTGGATACACAAGGAATTTGTCTTGGTGCAAATGCTCTCAGGGTACCTAAAAGAAAATATACATTCGTCAAGAGTCAAGAATCATAAGGTACAACATTTAATAATAGTCATAGGGTACAATAAGCAATCAGAGTTGAAGTCTTAAAAGTTGCCAAGTCTCCAATCTTGGGAACATTAAGACTTGCGGACTTCAACTCCCAGAATTTGGGAATCCCAAAGGTGCTTTTTCAAAAGGCAACTGGACTTCGTTTTTCCTTGAAGACGTTTCACTTCTCATCCAAGAAGCTTCTTCAGTTCTGAACTGTAGGAGCTTCTTCGATGAGAAGTGAAACATCTCCAAGGAAAATAAAGTCTAGTTGTTTTTGAAAAAACACCTTTGGGACACAACCAGGACCTGGATGACTGAGAATCTCTGCAGACAAATTATGCGAAATGAAGTCCAGAAGTTGTAAATGGTAAAATTGGACAACTGGAAGAACTTTGTTTTTAGTGCATAAGAACCAGAAGAATTGGAGCATCAAATTGGAGCAAACCCTCTCAGAGGGTAAAATATCCGTCCTAGAAA